TCTGGACTCAGCTTCAAATAACAAGCTGCCATTTAAGAAGCATCTAGTAAATTTTATGGAGACTTATTGACCCACACACATTAAAAGGTAGCTGAGGGTCTCACTGAGCATTGGAGATCTGTTTACCTTGTTTACTGTCCAACAAGACACATTCTGGTCCTTATGGATCTATATTTTGCATTATATTTATACCAAGGCTAATGAAAACAGGAAGTCAATGTTTTCAAATCCATAGGTCTACTGCACTTGGAACAACTTAAAAACCATGGATACAACAATTAAAATACTTTAAATAAAATAATCCTTCTGACTGGGGATTTTTACTCCAATATTTTTATACTTAAATCAAAGATTGCACCATTTTTTCTAAATCATGTAAGAAAAAATTCTACTTTAAAGGCTTGTTTAGCAGGGAGGCCAACAGATTGTGTCTAAGAAAAGAAAAAAAAAAAACCCCACAAATATGACAGGTAAATCTGTAAAAATAATAATCTGTATTCCTGTAATCTGCTGCGATGGACTGGCGACCTGTCCAGGGGGGAGCCCGCCTCTCGCCTGTAGACAGCTGGGGATAGGCACCAGCACCCCTCACGACCCCAGCAGGGATAAGCAGGATGGAAAATGGATGGATTCCTATAATCTAAGTTTATCTAATATGGTAACTATGTTCACATACAGATTTATTACACATTTACTATAAACACATAAGTATGCAGACAATTTTTAAACATTTCATAATCAAGCAAGAATTTCTGCTTACATCTAATCAAATATAAATCAGAATATTACACCCGACCAATTAAACACCAAACATTTTAATGCAGAAATAGAGGCTTTATCAAAGGTATGTTTAATCCTTGCTTAAAAATTATTCACAAAATATAGTTTTCAATCTAAAACTTGTTGCGCACATTGCAGATTGACACTCTTGTCCTGTAGTCACTTACAGTGCAGGACAGATGAGTACAATGTATAGCTGTAAGGAAAATGGTCAAAAGCAGGAGAGCTGGAGGTAAACCACAAAATCTCTTGTTTCTCTTGTTTGAAGAATGTTTCACACCAAGAAATGAGGCAATGAAAACTCACTGCAGCGTGAACATGAGACTAAGATTTGGATGATGATGACAGAGCATAAACACAGACAGAGCAAAAGAGGCATTGTGACAACGAAGAGGGAGAGAGCGGCAGAGAAACACATTGGGCGCCAGCAGTTCAAACCAAGTCATAATTCTCTATCTCCTCTCTAGACAGCCATGTTTAGCCTCAGAAAAATGAATGTTCAGAATCACATATAACCTTATTTTTAAGGGTTTAAACCAGTTCACTGTTCCTGCCCTGGTATGTTCTTGTTATTTATACCTGGAAAATGAAGTCTCTCCCTGATCCCCAATTATCTACAGTTACAGCAGACAGTCAGACCCCAGAAAAAAAATGCTGTACCCCTCAGCAAGGCCAGCAAAAAGACAATCTCAGCAGGGAAATGGTAAGACCTTCACTCCCCTTTTCATCCCTCATAAATCAGCCACAACAACTCTTCTTACAGATTTTTGCAAACAATTACAAGCGTGGCAACCCGAACTAAGAAAATAAGGTAACATTACACAAACCTCAAATACCCATCTAGGAAACCTTTTCCTCACGAATGAAAACAGTGCGTGAAAGGTTTAATTGAAGAGACTTATTGTGAAGCTAAGTTTTGATGCATTATCAGTAAGCAATCATTTCCGAGGTGCCAGATTCCTGGATCATGTTTATCTTATTTAGACAGAGCTGACAGTACTTTTTGCATGCTGGCTTTACACACCCTCCTTCTTAGTGGACCCTCTGTCGTAAAACAGAACTCAGGCTAAAGGCCCTGCCTGAACCTGACATTAAAGGCCATTTAAAATCAGGACACAGTCTGATTTGCCACAGTGATGAATGCCTAACCTGGCCCAGGCCTTCTGTGAAACACTAAACCCCCATGAGCAGCAAATGAGCTCTGACTGTTCCTTTTTATTTGATCCTATTTCACTTGGTTGCATCTCTGCCCGTGCAACGCTTAAAACAACGAAAGGGAACATTTTTATTTTGCTCTTAAAGTCAAAGCTAAAAAAGGAGAGGAAATAAAGCATGTTTCTTGTGAGCAAGGCAGAGTTTTCCAGATAAGGACAATATTTAGTGCTAAAACAGCACTGATGTTAAATGTGGCAAAAAGTGAATGTGAGACATTAGGCCTACACTAAGTCCTTGTGGCCTCCCACTCATCCCTCTCCTCAAAGCAGGGCCAAAAGGGAGGTCATTACTCTCTCCCCAAAACAGGAAGCCCCATCAAAAGAAGATCATGTTTCTCCATAAGCCAATAAGTAAGAGTCCAGGCAAGTCCCGAGCATCGCTGGCGACTAACACACCAAAAAAACATAAGACTCATGTTTCTGTGCTTAGAGTCTGCATTAGAATTGTTTGTGATACATGCATGGAGGCATGCACATGAGGGAGAACCATCCTCAAGTCTCCAGATCTCTAAATTATGCGGCTACCTCCGGATCAGAAAATTATCACATTGCTATTCTCTCCAAATACATCTACTTCTAATGAAACTAATTTAACTCCCTGAGTTTCACATTGCACTCTTTACCTTTTTCTTATCACTTAATCCACACGGTGGTTAAATTACACCACTGAGGTATGAGACAGTCCTGCTGAGAGATTGTCTAGACAGCATAATACTATCACAGCCAATTTTCAAAAATTGTTGTTTATGAAATTACTTTTAGCCCTATATAGCATTTTCACAAAGAGGGGAAAGCAGGATTTTTTTTGGCCTCTTTGGCCAAAACATTTGGTTTTAGATGCTTCTATTTTTCCAACATGACTTTCAGCAAACCACAGAGAGGATTTGTTATAAGTTTTCTTTTGGCAGATTAATCATCCTCCAAAGAATCCATAATAAGTAAGGAGTATGACTAATGGTCCTTAAAAGAGCGTTTCCAAACTCAGGATGAGCTGGGATGTCAGTTCGTCGCTTTAGGTTAGAGAGTTTGTAGTCGTGTCACAGCCTATTGTGTTTCGACAGGTAATGAATTAATTGTTTTTCAAACATTGGGATATTATTTTTAACCTAATTCTGCTTTAAATATCTTTACAACTTTATCCCTGACAGTCTGCTGGAATCTGAATGATGCTGTTTGCTCTCTAAGGTATTCCAATAAACCCCCAAGGCCTCCATACAATACACTCACAGCAGTATAAACTGGTTAAACTAAACAGAAATTAAATGTACTTTTCTGTATGTTTTCCATTCCATTTTCATATTCAGGCATTAAGGGACATTTTTGTTTAGTAACAAACAAAAAACCCTTTTCTCTCCTTTCTTTGTCAGCCTTATCATTCAAAAGACGAGGATTTAAAATAGAAAGCAGGCTTTGAATTAGGTCTCTAAGATATAGCTTTAATATAAAAAAAAGGTTTATTGTATATCTTTATGGACAAACATGCTTAAAATAAAAACAAAGTACATTTAAACAAAAAAAAAAACAAACAAAAAAATTAAATAAATAAATGCAATAAAAATTCTGGTGAATGTTATGCTTTTAAAATTGTCAAAATTAAAAGTTTTTTTCTTGCATTTTCTAATCTTTTTTTTTTTTTTTTTTGCATATGTTCCACTGGAGCACACCTGTCAGTACTTGTAAGTTCAGCTCCATCCCCTAAAAAAACCCAACAACCCCTAATTACAATAGTGTAAAGGTCTGATGATTAAGAGTGAAATGGGATTTAGCCTGAGTGTCAGACATTGTTCACAATGTGAATGGAAGTGATCTGTGTTAGCCTTATAATTAGGACCAGTTGTGTTCTTTGGGCTGGTTTATAATAGCCAGGCATAAATATTTATTCCTGGCGGCTGGAGAGGATAAAACTGGTGGGAGTCATAGGTGCAGCTCGCCAAACATCCAGAAACTAGCGCCCGGCCTGTGATGCTTATACCCCCGAGGACTACTGTGCCAGACCACGCTTCAGCAGAGATCAAATACAAGGACTCATACGTTGCATTTATTGTCTTCAGGTTTTCCATTTTTCCTAATAAATGAGTGACAGCTTGAGGTGGGTCTGGGTACTTCAGCAGACTCTTTGTATTTTACCCTTGGGTCAGAGAGGAGAGGGTTTTAACAGCAATGGGGAGCGTATCTAATTGCTTTCATATGCCATATTATTGCTTGATTTAAATAATGACAGACACTAAGGGCACTGAGGAGCATCTCCTTTAACCTCTGTGTAGCCCTGGCAAAGACTAACTACTTTCTTTGCTGGGTTACAGGGAGTTTCAGCAGCTAAGGACACGGAAAACACAGAACTTCAAAAGTTTATGTGTTTATTTATCCGCCAACTGTTGCTGTGAAAGTTTCTCACTGAAAAGGAATTTTTTTCTTACTCATGCTTGGAAATGTTTACAAAAGACAAGAAAATGCCTTTTCCACCGGTGCTGAAACAGAGGGTGCAGCGCTGTGACAATGACAAGCCATTCAAAAACAAAACTGTCTGGAAGCTCATAACATTTGTGAAAGCTTCCAAGGGTTATAAAGATACACAGGAAATCTTTAAAACTGGAGCTGAAAGAGTACAAAGGAAGTACATTTACATTTAAACTGCACTAAGAGATTGTAATATATACCTTTGGACTGACTGATAAACAATGAAACAAAGATGACCTAAGTGGTAACTTGGACTGATCTCCAAGTGCCTAAATGTGCTTCCAGATTTCTTCCATTACATTCTGGGGGTAGTAAGGATGAACAACATGGTTGTTTTTGCTGATCAGAAAAAAACTTAGGCAGTAGGCAGTAATCTGCTATCTTGAGTCAAAAACGAAAAAAAAAAAAAACTAAAAAAATGTTTCATTGGTGTTAATATCCTTGCAATGCACTGCAGACTTTTCTTTCGGCTTTCATTTGTGAAAACCCTTCACACTTTACAGGTAATTCTGCATCTAAAGGCCTTTAGCATTATTTGGCATGTCCTACCAGTCAGATCCCGCTTGAGTTTCCTGATGTCTTTGGCAAGGTCATCAAACTTGACCTGTGCTGCTTGGAAGAACTCTTGAGGCTCAGGCAGAGGAAACACACTCTTTTCTGTACCAGCATGCTAAAAACAAACACAAAAGCATTTAAGTATTCAAATAGAGGGAAACATTTTTCAGTATTGATTGAAGTATAAAACTTACTTTGTCAAAATTTCGCAAATAGTATAAAACCACATAATCCACGAGATTGATATGATTGTCCTGTTTAAAGAAAAAACAAATAATCTGCTTAATTCACACCATGGCTTTAATCAACACTACTGAGATAATCTTTAAGATAATGTATACCCTGCTCTTGACATCTTTTAGCTTTGGGAGAATCTCCAACCCAAATCCATCCGCCTGACCTCTTGTCCTGTTGCCTCCATTCATATAGTTTCCAAAGGCTAGAACTAGACCCATCACATCACGCAGGCTATCACAACCAAGAAGGTCCTAATGCAGAAACAAATAGACAGATTTTTCAATTAAGCAACCCTTAATGTGGTCAACAGTTTTGATGCAAAAGTTGCTAATGTTATGCTCTTACGTCACAGACTTTGGAGATAACTTCCACTTTACGATGTAAGGAGGAGATAGTGTCGAGAAATAGTGACTGGAAGATCATGGAGTGAGCTCTGCCTGCAAAGTCAGGAATCTGGGACAGCTCGTAAAGAAACCTGAAGAACAAAAGAGGATGAGAAGCAAAGGGAAGAGGTAGTGGGAGGAAGAATCAGATTTGATGTGTTATGGCAGAATTAAACAAAATGTCCAACAAGAAGAACTATTCTGGGGCCTTGGCAGGCCGACCCTCACAGGTCCCTTGAGTCAATGTTACTGCTCATAGGCAGGCAGCTGATAGTCATAAGTGGTGCAGCTCTGCTGGGTTTGAAAGGTCCAAGGGGTCGGGTGGAGGGAGAGCAATGAGCGGTGCACAGAGACTGATCAAAGGTAACTCTGGCCTGATGCAAGACGACTTATGTAAACAGCGCAGTGTCGGAGGGGAGCAGAGAGGTAACATCCTGTGTGATTAGGGTCGGCTGATGCAGGCAGACACTGAGTAGGGATGACTCAGGCAGCTATAGTGACAGCTCTGGTCAAACATGGACATTGAAAGGCGCGTCTGAGTGACACCACGAGATCCAAGCCTCGTTAGCAGACTAAGGCTGATAAAATCAAGTCGAAAATTCAAAAGCATCATCATTTTATGCATTTTACTTCAAGGAACTGACTTAGTTAAATATAAGAAGGTAAGGTAAAGATCTACATCTTCCAGCCTTTTCATTAAGTAAACTTTGCTAGTACCGGGTTGGGCGCCCTATTGCCTAGAGAACTAGTTTAATAATTCATAGCATAGATTCAACAAGGTAGTGAACACATTCCTCAGAGAGGTTATAAGTCTATATTGACATGATGGCATCACACAGATGCTGCAAATTTTTTATCTGAACATCCTTGATGTAAAAATCTCCTTTTCCACCACATCCTGAAGGTGCTCTATTGGATTGAGATCTGATGACTTTGTAGGCCATTTGAGTAGTCTACAGTGAAATTATTGACAACAAACCAATGCCATTGTCTACTTGCCTAAATGCATGGACTTGCTGCTATGTGATTGTCTGATAGGAAATTTGCAATTGGATAGGTGTACCCAATAAAGTGGCCCGTGAGTGTATATCCTCTAGAAGGAGTACACATGGAGACTCATGTTAAGGTCACTCTAGCTTAGTCAACTGTTAATATAAATGCTAAAGACAGTCTAAATCCATAATCATTTTGTTTTTGTTTCAAAGGAGTAAAACTGTCTTTCACAGCAACGGTTCTGCGACACCAAGCTGCAACATTGAATCTGCTCTTGATAAAAATCACTCAGTGAAATAAAAGAAGAGGAAAATATTTCTTATGCTTTCTTTAAAGAGAAATTTTAATTGGCTGGTTAGATCATCATTAAAACTGGAGATCAGAAACTGACCAAAAAATTTAAATAAGTGCATCTCTAATTATGAGTTATAATGCTGCAACAGTTAGGGTAGTATACTAAATATACATTTTAAATATAATTTGAAAAACTACATACAAAAATGTATTGAAATACTCTTACTGTTCAGGTTTGTCCAAAAGTTTCACTTCATCTTCTTTGGATGTCTCATAATGTTTCATGATCCTGTCAATCTCATCACTGGTGGCCCTCTGTTAGAACAAGAATGCTGTTATTCAAAAGAGCTAAATATTTGAGCTTTAAAGAATTATTTTAAGATAGTATTTATTTCAATTAAACATATAAATGTACAAATAGATATACAAATAGAATAAACTGCTTTAAAATATTTAATTTCCTAATTGTTTTCAATCACAGTCAAACCGCTTCTTACATTTTCATACAATGCCTCAATGGTCTCCAAATCCACCACAGAGTTGTCCACATTAAGAACAGCTGGTGAAGACACAGAAGAACATTAATCATGAGCTGTCTCTCTTATAAATGGGTCAAATCTTGGCTCAAGTATTTTGCCTTTCAAGTTCTGTCAACGAAAAAAAAGTCCCACCAGATAAATAATCTGATGAAGGTTTGTAATACGATTAAATGTTAGAGTAAACATCATTACATCTGGATAAACACAATGAAAGAGTTTAAACATATACTTATGTTTGTGTCAGAAAAAAAATGTAAAAGAGTATAAAAAGGTGTGTTTTAATAAAACCAGAATGCTTCATTTTCAGTGTGTGATTTTTTTGTACTATACTATCAAAATGTGTAATTTTTCAAGATGAATTACACACATGGAATTTTATATGGTTCAAGCACACGGAGGCCACTGTCGGAGCCCCACACTGGAGAACCTTTCTACTCTTCTTGACCACGGCTGGAGAATCAGGGAATGAAGTCCCTGGTAAGAGCTCTGAAAAAAGAGGCCTAAAAACTGCTTAACCTTTACCCCCATAGGTAGAAGCAGCACCACCAGGAGCCCACTAATGATTATAGATGAGGGCAGAAGAAGGTCAAGCTTAGCAACAAGCAACAGCTGACTGTGTCTGACTCGGTGAACTTTTACTTCCATTCTGGGCAAACAAGGCAGAGTAGAACAACACAAGGGAAAGAGAAAGTAATCTTCAATTAGAGTCTAGGAGGTGATCCAGGCAGCTAGGGAAAAAAAAAAGCACAGTGTAAACATCTTCAAAACCTAGTTAAATATAATTTTATAGAATAGTTAACACTGCTATGGTTGGGAACGGGGTTCCATCAACAAACCAGACAATATAGACTTAGAATACGATGTCATCGAAGTTCATCTACATGTAAAAGTGGATGGACTAATTATTTTGGTGATACACTGTATATTGTAGAATGTACAGTGATTTGGAAAGCATGATTTTCTTTTTTTTACACTCAGTCATTTTAGCACCTCAAACTTTGATGATTTTTGTTGAGATTTTAAGTGACAGAGCAAAAGCAGCAAGTAATTGTTAAGTGAAAGGAAAATGATAAGCAGGTAAACAGGATGATACGTTTTAAATATTTATAGATATCTTCATTTACTCTGATTAGGGATGCGGCTGGTCTGACACATTATCTGTCTGGGCTTCCGATACCAACATATGTTACAGATGTGAAAATTCCTACTAACCTTTCAGACATTTCTAATCCATTAGCCATGTCTGTGATTTTATATTTCATGCTAAAAAGTGTGGTAAATCTCTGCTGGCTGCTCTGCTACTAGGGTGCTTACTGTGCAATGGATTTCCTACTGTATGAAACAAAAGAGGGTCGTGTGAGACAAATGACACGTAGAGTAGGTAAGGAATCAGTGGGGCATGCTAGAGTAGAAACATGATTGTCCCATATAAATTACACACTTTAATGGTGATAGGGATGCAGAATGCACTTTATGTTGTTCTCTTTGCAAATATAAGCACTAGATAAACTCCTCAAGCTATCACCTAAATAGCACCAATTTAACCGTGCTGCATGGTGAAGCAGCATTAATTCCTCTGCTGTGCTTGGCAGGAGCGATGATAGAAAATTGCAGGGCATTATGCAGAACATTTTTAATATGACAGAAAAAGACATACTAACAATAAACACAATAGATAGGAAGGTTTTGTGAGTCAGTGAACTTCATGAAGCTAGGAGCACCCACCTAAAAACATTGCTAACACCACTGATTGCTGGATTACACAAAGGGAGCTATATCCCAGTTTGCATTCAAATTACTGAAACAAACGGGCAAAAAAGTCTGACGACCCCATCTTTTAATTATAGTTTTAAATCTCTGTACCTTAAAATTTTAAGTGTTTCACATATTTTATTCATCTTTTTTATTCAGTTACTAAATAGCTTTCTTATTTGTTATATCTTTTGTTAGTAATACGTTTAGTTTTCACTTACACATAAGTTAAATAATGGGTACTGGTAAGTTTTTTTTTTTTTTGGATAATTCAGTCAGCATTTATTCCCGCTGATAAAATAAATTATTCCAATATAATGATGCTTTACTTTCTTTAACTTTGAATATTGAAAACAAAATATTTAGCCCTTCATATTACGCAAAGATCCTTTTAATTTATCAAAAAAAAAAAAAAGGATTTTAAGAAAATGGACACTTAAATCAATAAATAAAATCAATAAATTGTAGGTAATTTAATAAGATCAGTCAACTTTAGATTAATTCATTAATCAATAACTTGCATCTCTAGTGGCTAACCAACCTTCAAACACCACCTGTCTGCACTATGAAAATATTTTACACTAGAATCTGCAAAGTAAAGTGAACCTCTAACAAACAACATAAAAGCTATAGGGATATTTAAACTTGTTGCACTTTTTTAATATGTAAAAAGCTTCAATTTTAACTGAGCCAGTATATGTAACTTGTACCATAACATGAAGCAGCCCTTTGTATGGAGTTTGTTAAGGTGTTAGAGAATAAATAATAAATAATACAATGAATAAATAATACAATAAAACAATTCAACACTTTTCAGACTCTGATGTTTCTTAAGATTAAGATTTAATGGGTAGAAAATTACCTTTAAACTATGCAAAATAAATTTTGAAATAACTTGTTTTTCTAATTTTTGTTTTACAATGTGAGAAAGAAGTGAATTATTGCCTTTACTTCTAAAACTACAATGCATGTAATTCATAAAATACAGATGGAAAAGAATCTGAAACATGACATGCATTCGTGGCAAAATATCTTTTTTTGTTTTATTTGTTTTACGCTTCCAGCTATATGGTCCTCATCTTCACAGTCACACAGTAAAATTAGGCTAACAAGCTAACACTTTGCACTCTGGTTTGCAGCTGGTCTGCAGCAGAGAAGCTGTGAATGTGGTCCCACAGACTGGATCAGAGAAAACACTGGAGGTCCATTTCCTACATCTTATTAGAGTGGATTATTCAGTCCCTCAGCCATGCAGCCGTCAATCACACACCAAATGGGGGCCTGCCCCAGTGTGCACAGGAGCACTCTGATCTGAGGGGAGCCGGATATCTCTCCACACTGGTAGATCAAAGCCGGCCTGCCAACGGCCTCACACCCTCTCCTTCCACTTTTCACTCCTGCATGCGTATGTTTTTGTGTGCGTGCGGCGAGGTGCGGAGCAGGGGAGAGCCTCCCCTTGCCCTTGAACCACGGTGGCCCTAGAGGTCCCCCCCAGCAATTTCAACTGGTGCCTAAGACTCCCCCCTCCTGTCTCTTAACTACTGTGTTGCCTTTCCCTTCTTCCCTCTTAACCCTTCATAGCTGCAATAGCATTATATTTACCAAGTCTTTTTAATTGGGCAACACAGAGAGGCAAGGAGCTTTTAGAAGTTATTTTGAAGGTGCTGTCCTTAATTGTCGAATTCAAATTGTCCGTTTCACATTCACCTCCCATTAAGGTACAAGGAAGCCGCCTCACGCTGGGTGGGAATGAAAATTTTCTACTAAACGACACTGCAGCAGGGAAAAGCGGCCGAGGGGGAAATGAAACAAAAATCTAAACAAGATGGTTTCAGTAGAGTATGTGCTGTTTGCCTTGTGTCTGAGGCAGTTTTATGTGCTAGCACAGTGTCTGCAAACTGTAGAAGGTGGTTTTGTACATGCTTAGATCATTAGTGGGGTGTCAGTCCCATTAGGCTTGTGGAAACCGTCACTGGCTACAATAAACAGATCCGCTGGCCGCATGCTCAGACTAGCAGGCGGCAGGCACTCTCCGCCGCAGTCCCAGGACAGGACTGATTCCTGGCCCATCTATGATGTCCCCAACACACACAATATGTGTTTACACACACACCCAAACACATACTACATTTTCCACAGATCAACTAAGCGTGCAATCAGTCTGTGCCGCTCTTTAAATGAAATGGATGGTAATTTGATTTTAACCAGTGGAGGAGGGTTTCATCCTTCTCCATCCAACTATCGTTGTGACAAATCAGTTTTATATTCTTCCTATATTTCTACTTTGATAACTGGAGATTTATCTGTGCTCTACATAAGACTAAAGCTTTATCTGAAAAAAAAAACTCTCAACGAACAAATTTGCTCTTCCTGAGGGGGAGGAATTTATCCTCTACAGCAGGGTTCCCAGTATCTCATCTACAAAAATAACCCTGTCTGCATTTCATCAGGAGTCATCCTCAGTTTATCGTTTTGCAGTAAACTAAATTTAGCTTGTAATGACTGTGTCTAAATCAAAGAGGTACTTCCTTCAATTAAATGAGGGTTGTACTAAAAATAAAATGCAAAAAAAAAGTTATGGGGAGGATATAACTTACCTTGCTGGATGTCCTTCATTTCCAGATGCAGGCTCGATATGAGGATCCCAACCGCTTGAGAGCGTTTCCCATCCAGCAGCTTGATGATCTAGATATCCAAAATATTAACACTTGTTGAGCTTTTAAAAGCCAGTATGAAATGTTTATTAAAAAACTATTAACCTACAAATCAAAACAAGTTGCTTTAGACAAACAAAAAAGCTAAAATTGATCTAATAAGAGAGACAAAAGGCTTTAAAGAATAAATGATGGGTCATGATTTTGGCACAGATGGCTGGCTTAATTGCTCCTTTCATTCACCTGTCTAGCTCTGCCCTATTCCTCATAACGCATCAAACTCACCTGTTTTAGTTTCCTTTTTAATCTGCCTGTTTCCCAGCCATCAGTGCCAGATTATTTATGAGCCTTTGGTGTTGAGAGTTCTCTAGCGTTACTATAGTGTTCTGATTTTCTGATCCTGATCTGTTTCTATATTTGGAAATGTTAGCCTGTCTGATCTGTGTTGCCTGTCTCCTTTCGGATTGTTCTGTGGACTGAATCCTGATCTGCCTCTTGACATTGCTCTTTGGATTATCCTGTCTTCTTTTGTCAACCTGGACCTGATCCCCTGTCAGCTCTGCAGCCTTCTAGATTTCCATGTCTGGAACTCTACCTCAGCATCAGCTGCGTCTGTTCATTCCACCGGCTGGAATCATCCCTGTTCTCTGCGCACAGAATGAACTGTCAAACCAGGTTAGTGATTCGTACGTTGACAATCATCCTCTGTCATGTTATCGCAGTCACTGATGCCTGACACTATGCAATTTTCGGGGCGATTTTCCAGTCGTGCGAGAATCTTTCGATGGGCCCGACTTACAGCCTGATCGTGCGTCGTGAGTCGTGTAGTGTACATGGGGTTACGAGTGGCGATCAGCCTCTCACGTAATCCTCCCGATAAGGAATCGTAAGGTCGGGAGAATATCAAACATGTTTGATATTCTCCCGACCATCGTGGGCAAATCGCCCAGGGCACACGCACAAACAAGGATTCTTCTTTTTATTCTTCCTCTTTGATGTAAACACAGCAGCATGGCAGGGGTGCAATGAGTGAAATGTAGTTCTGTCTGTAAAATTAACAGACCGTCTTAGCCACGTTTGCTCAGCCATGTCTTTTTTTCCAAGTATGTCGTCACCTTTTCTTTTCAGGGCTTTCAGCACAAAATTGCACAAATTGCCTTCTATTTGTTTCACTTCCAGATAGACGAGTCAGAGCAGCTCGATCTCACTGTGGAGTTGAGTACGACGTTGTTTTTAGTCGTACAGTGTGAGCAAGTAGATCGCATGAGAGCGTCGGGCCAACATAAATCGTGAGCTGTGAGCTCACACTGTACGACTAAACCCTGCGATTAATCATACAGTCTGACCCGTAGCTGCGCTCAACAACTGAAAAAAATCACACAGTGTATGGCTTAACCTGTGATAGACGTTCCTGCCTCAGACACCCTAGCTGCTGAGGCCACTGCCACTTCAGAATCAATCCGTCGCTGTTTGGATAACTTTCTGAGCCATTACATGATGTTAGTGTTTAGCATTGGTCAACAGAAGTTAGGCTAAGATGTAAAGATGTCCAAGAAATCCTCTAGATGCTTCCGTTCCTCTGCAAACGATGGTTAGCACGGTAATCATAAGTCCTAATTAATGACACTTTAAACCAACAATGATTTTTTCTTTATGTTGTCCTTATCTCATCTGATTTTAATGCTTTTTTAGGGAAAGCAAAGTCTAATTAAATATGTTTAATCTGTAAAAAGCTTCACTACTAAAGAGCCAAAAGCTCATCTGAAGAGACCCGGATGACTGATCAAATAATATCAAGTGGCAGTGAAAGTACAAAGGGAAAAGTGGCGCCATTAAAGACAGACAGAAGAGCAAGGCAAAAAGAAGCAGGGCTTTTATAACAAACTATAAATTCACAGGATTTTTATTCGTACCTACAGATGGTCACAATTACTAATGACTAAATTAGCTGTAAAAGCAGAGAGAGTTTTGGCAAGGTAAAGCCCCACTCTAAAAGTTAATGTTTCAGGCTTCTTTATTAGGTATTATAGCATTGTCGGCTACTGGGCCGTCCTTTAGGAACTAAGGAGCCTTAGAAGTGGGTATTGCATTACATGGCGTTAGTAGGTGCCATGCTGCTTCCAGCTCTGTTACCCGGATCACCAGGGATCTCCCACACTTGGAAACTGGTGAGTTCTAGCCTTTGCCACTACCTCTAATTAAGCACTTTGGACAGGCTACCACCAAAAACACAACAGGATTTAAACTAAGGAGTCGAGATAACTTATGTTGGATGCTTACTTCCAGACATACAAACAGTTTATTTTGAAGGGGAGAGACGATGCTGATGCTGAGACAGGTAGACATCAAGAGCTAATGGCTCCCTCCTGTGGACAAATAAAGGAATCAAAGATGTCCGTAACTCTGGTTTCTGGAGCAGATTAAAATGCGATAAAGTGAGCAAGCAAAACATATATATATATATATATATATATATATATATATATATATATATATATATATATATATATATATATATATAAACAGATGAAGGCAAAGCAGGTGCCTCATGTAAGGGAGTTTTGGATGCAGCTTTGGTGCAGAGCAGATAGTTTACACTGGTTAAGCAACCAGCCTGACTAGTATTTGACTATTAATCTGGAAGTATATCTTGTATCAACAACTAGATCAACGTTTCCCATTAGGACCAAGCTTCCTCTGACAGCAGTGATAATCTTACACCCACTCTCCCACGTCAGAGCCTGCACTTCAAACATGTCTTTAATAAACGTATAATGATTGCTCATAAATTAAAAACGGGGTAAAGCAGCTGTTTGTTTAAGGAGCTCCACCACATGTAAACCTGATAGAGCTTTGATTTATGTCTGTATAGGAAAGTGTGTTTACTGACACGCAGACAAACCCGAAAGCAAGTTCAGCTTGGAGAATTCTTTTCATTTTCATCCATCCCTTCCTAGCTGCTCATCTCCTAAGAATGCCCCGACATGCCTATGTTTGTGCCCTCCCTTTCAAATAGGTGCCCCATTTCCTTTTCCTCCACTGTGGAAGGCATGTGCATGCAATTACATACCAGGTCCAGTCCAGTTTGGTCCACCCTGCTCTCTGCCATGTCATCCTCCTAGCTTTGATATGTTAATCAGCAGAGGGTGAATGGCTTCAGAGTAAACAAGAGCTTTGATTCTTTTTTTCTTAGTTTTTTTTTTTCTCTAAATGGCACACATGATAAAAATTAACTCACACATATGTAAGCTACATCCCCCTAGTTTTCAACTTTATGGCAAGTGTTGTCGGGAATTAGGGAAGAGGCTTATATGCACAATGCACACACATTCCAACCACTCATCGCCTTTCCCGTTTTCAAAGCCTACGGCTGCAGCGTTTGCATGATCTGGCAACGCTTTCTAATCAACTGCATAATAGATTGAGAGAACATGCTGTCATCATGTAGACCAGCCCACATACCTGAGCTAAAACATTCATGGGTTGATGCTTATTCCAAACAGACAATACAGAACAACTGGCCTAGAAGTCATCTGAAACCCCTTTTGGAGTCACAAACACATTTACAGGCAGCATTAGATTAAGTCTGGCTGACACAGACAAGAGGCAGGTAGTCTGTGTGTGAGTTGACTGGTATTGGTAGTCATTCAGGGGGATGTGGTCAACTGTCTGGACAGATTCTGCAGAGTCAAAAACTCCGTAATACACAATTTTATAGCACAGATGAAACAGGAAAAAAAATTCTCAGAACATATTTTTCAATATGATTACTTAAATGATGTATTACACTTTCTGTGATATATCAATACGATTTTAATATTTCTTGAGAGAACTAAGGCATTCATGAAACAAGGACAGATTTATCCACTAATCAGTTATTATTAACAAACTGCATTTATTAAGATAGAATTTTGGATAAAGTTTTAAGAAAACGTAAGAAAAAGAATGCTGTGATTTGTAAAATGCTTAATATTTGAAGCTTTCTTTTTCACAAAATGTCAACATTGTCTCTCAAACTTCAATAAATTCATACCAAACATAATAAAAAAGATATTGAAATACGCAAAGCTATAATTAAAAGGATCTCTTTATCTTTTCTTTAATAAAAATACTAGGTTTACAAAAGAAAACCTTTAAATAACAACGTACATCATTCTCTACTATTATTAGCATCCCTTATATTGAGGTGAAACAAGTTTTAATAAGCCAAGTTTTATTGTTATCTTATATTTTAAACTATAAAATGTCCTGTAAGTAGTCTGTAACATTAAGGCTGTCTAACTTATAGGGAATGTTTCTCACCCTCCTCAGTTTGAAGATTTATTAAGTAGTTAGGCCTCTATGTGATACCCTATTTTTCATAGCCACACTAACTGCACTATTTGTTTACAATAAGATGCCAAAGATAATCAAAAATTTAATATCTTTGTTTTAAAAATAATGAAACCTTGTTTTAGTGACTGCTCTGTTGTACGTGTAAAGTACTCCAATCTGTTCCTTTATCAATCCCTTATCTTACAATGAAACGTGCTACAATAATCTATTAGGAGTTCCAAGTATAAACCACAATTCTTCTGTTGAGACTAATGTTCATGTTTCTTTCCATATGCCAGGAATTTTACTTTTTTAGCCCATTCCAGTAATGTTTAACTCAGTTCAGTAAAAGAAACATTTTAGCCTCAGTGTCATCACTTCCTCTCCAACCACTGTTCTCAAGATGGACTTTTTGGAAGTCATCATCAGTATAAACTTGCAGGGTATCAAAGATCAAGTAAACAATTCTCTATTGCTAGAACAAGCTTTCCAGTATCCCTCATGTATTCTGTTTCCATCTTTAATCTTTTACTTGGACCACAATCACAGTCAAAGATTTTATATTCAAAAACAAAAAAGCAAAACAGGATTGAGGAACAAAATGTTCGGACACATAACCTGCCCAGTGTGCTTCAAACGTTCTTTTAAACAATTAATAATGAGGAGGTTTATTTTAGGATGAAATAGTGTAAATTGGTACCAGCAGTGTTTCCATAAAAGTGGTCATAACTCCACCAGGCTGACCTAAGCCAAGAGAGGAGACAGTTGTCTGTTGGATCAAATGTTGGGCAGTTGAAGTGACCAGACTGATTGGAGAGACACACAAACACACACCGTGGCAAAAGTGGAGCCTTTACAAATTGATCAGAATAGGGGATGTGTATGGATTTAGAGGACCAGTCTGGGGCAGCGGCTGATTTTTAACTGCTTGGACGCCAACAGAGAGGACCATAAGGCAGAAAGAATGCTGACACAGAGTTGGCTACAGGAGTAGTGCAGAGTTGCATCATTGGACAGGGCATCAAGAAGCCATAAGGAGACAAAAGTGGATCGATCCACCAACAATCTCTCTTGCTGTTTTTCTTGATTTACTTTATTTTGGCTTAATTTTGCTCAAGAAAAATGTTAAAATTAAAACCAGTCTCTTGTACTGTCATATGCAAAGTGACTACAATACTAGAGGGATTGGGGGATACTTTCATGAAAAAATTAAAAACATTTTGCCAAATGAAATGAAAAGAAAAGCTAAACTTTGCAAATGAAATTTGAGTTTACAACTAATTTAACTAAATACATTTTTAGAGAGAATATGCAGTTCTTTTGTTTGTTTCTTTATCATAATGCATCAATGAGAAGTTGAGTTCCCTGTTGCTTTTTCCCTTTTTTGATGTACAGCATTATGCCGGCAGACGGCGGTCCATTTATATTGCTACAGCGGTCTGTGCTCGTCTGGGATTTTACTTTGACTTTTCTTTCTTTTTTGATCTGCTATACAATTATTACAGAATAAAACATACTAAAAACAAGTAGAACTAAATAAAAACTGAAAATAGGAAGTCAAAATTAAATTAAAAAACAAAGAAATATGTATATATGTATGTGTACGTGTGTGTTATGCTCTTGGAGGTGAAATCCCTGTAATTTTTTGGTTGAAACGTTATACAATATATTACAAAACTGAAGGGCTGTTAACTTTTTCACAAGGCACTAAATCAAGGGCTTAATAAAAGCAGAACAAGGAGTACGAGTTGTGAAACAGCACCAACCTTCTTAGCTTTGGTTTTCTTTTCATAGGTGTCTGATAAGGGCTTCTTTTTCTGTGTGATTGTAGTCTTGGAGAACAGATCCTCAAACTCGTTAGCGTTGACGATGTCTGGCTCTTTCAAGGAACCCCAGAGTGTGTTGTTGCTATATACATAAAGAAACAAAATAACTTTATTAAAAGTTTGATTTTAATATGAAATAAAACATCAAAAGTCATTTTAAAAACATTTCATCTTAGCAGCTGAGAAAGCAGACATGCAATGAAAAGATTATAAGGGCTAAACAAAATTGTGGAAACTCATTTAATGTTTATTTGACCTGTTTTCCATTTTCCATTTTGCAGGCCGCTAAAAACTTGGCAGGAGTTCCTGCAATCTCCACTTTCAAAAGCCATGTTTATGAGCTAGGTGATAAAAATAACAAACGTTTCAGGCACACTTGTTCCTGTATTATGGGACCGTTTCTCACAAGGACAAAAAAAAAAAAAATAGGGAGGGAAACTCTCTGTTTTTGGAAGTTGCTGAGTTACGAGAGAAGAAAAAACAAACAGACAGAAACAAGAGGTGGCTAAAGTCAAGAAGATGTTCAGAGTGGTCTTCTTGCAAACATATCTTCTTTGCTAGCATCTGGCTTTGCTTTTCTCCACAACGTCTGACATCAACAGCCCAATCAACAGCTTTGAAATGAAATGAGCCTATTCTAAACAAAGAGGTTGATGCTCATAATTTTCTACCATCTTCTCACACATTGCAGTTCTTCTTAAAGGTCATTATAGCTCATCTGTCAAAGCATATTTAGAGAGAAAGTAAATCTGGAAACAAGGATTTTACACAAGGTTATCAAAGTTTAAGCTGCTAAAAAAAAAAGAAGGCTGTCCTGAATTATTCCAGTACGAAACCTGCGTGCTGAAAACTTTTTTCTGCAAAGAAGTTTGGTCCTCCATCCTCAACTTGCATAAACTGTTAACGCTGTAGAAAAATATCCAAATTAAGATTTCCCTGCACCGGAATTTATGAATTAGTTTAATATCAGTTACTGGTGTTTATCAGTATTCACTGAAATTGCTCTGCAAAGTTCTTTTACTTTGTCAGGTTTGTGACTGATGAGGTTGCAAGTACCTGGTTCAATCCCCACAGCCTGCACTCTGGGTCCCTGAGCAAGACCCTTAACCCCAGACTGTTCCCAGGGTGCTGCACAGTAGCAGCCCACTGCTTCCCAAGGGGATGGGTTGAATGCAGAGGTACATTTCTACAGTTTGAGATTATTAAAGTTCAATTATTATTGTATGTCCAGAGCCATCTTTGGGAAAATCCAAAAGATTTCTCTTACATTTATTACCATTCTGAAAAATATATCTTACTATGATAAATTGATTTCTTTGTTGATTGAGCTACATGCATTGTCTCTGTTTAATTGCGTTTAATTGTCTAACTGTGACGTTAAACAATTATATTCCAATTTTGCATTTCACTAAAAACCTCTAAAGATTTTGAGCCAAAACGGATGATGATTATTTATAAGCTCTAATTTCCTTCAATAGTAAATTTAACTCAGAGCATGATGCTGATATTGTTATGACTCACTTTGGTGACGTTTTTTTTTGGTCAGTAGTCAGTTGTGTTTTTGTGCTGAACATAACATAATTTACATTTTTCTTCTATATAACTTCTGTTTTATGAAAATATAACAATCTTTAAAAAAGGATATTTAAAACAGGGATGGGGCTATTGTGAAAAAAAAGCAACTATATCTTTAAATAAATTCATTTCTTAAACGGTGCCATAGTGTGCATATAGTTACAATAAAGATCAACATTTTTCTCACCTTTGTCAGATTTAGCTTTAAAATTATTTTTCTTCAACCAAAAAGGTTCTGTTCGATTGCACATGAGATGAATAATTGGCAAAAAAATAAACTTATTATAAAAAATATAGTTTAAAAAAAGATTCTAAAAGTTGAATTTATAACTATAAAAATGGCCTGTCAAATTTGGCCTTACAACTGTCCAATTTTATAAGCATTGATTTTGCTTATTTCATGTAGCAACACATTTCCAGTCTTTGTGGTTAGAAGTTAATGAGATGGGTTTGTTTTAATTCATCCACAGTAAATTGGCTTTATGGATGAGAGATAAAAGTGAGCAAATACTATTTTAGGTTCATAAGCCTTACAACAATGAAATGGAGGAATTAACGCAAAAAGACTCCATGCTAAAAGTAAAAACCAAAGGGCTGTTGGTACCCAATATAAGACTGTGTGCCATTATGCAAGCAGATTACAATATATATATATATATATATATATATATATATATATATATATATATATATATATATATATATATATATATATATATATATATATATATACATATTTTTATTTATTTATTTATTTTTTGGAGTTTTTATAGCACTAGTGGCTCTTTTTAGACAGTAGGCTGACAGGAAGAGGGGTATGAGAGAGGGGGAGAGACATGTGGCAAAGGACCACAGGTGGGATTCGAACGTCGCCTCCATACCTTGGTTGTGTGCGTAACCACTGCGCCACCAAAGCATGCCCCAAGATTACTGTATTTTTTCATACACATTCATTATCCTGTGTTAGACCTTTTCTTTTTTAGTTGAATAATACAGAATGTACATCATATTAATTGTCCTCATCTTTTTCTTATCTAAATTTATCTTTGCACGAAATGTCTGCCCTGCAAACTGCCTACTGTTCAGTTATATCTTCTTCCTCATACCACAAACTCTTGCACCATTAACTGACCTGATCCAATTGTAGTTAAACATGTGACCCATCTAATGGCCCTTAACTTGTCTCTTTATAGTTTGATTTATGGCCAACATGAAGCAAGCTTTTGCCCTTCTGAGGTCCTCTGACACACTGAGGACCTCCGAGAGAACCACAGCTCAGCTTTGCTCCACTAATCCAACCATGGAAATACAAGGCCATAAACCTTGAAGACCGACACTCTGAGGCTACAATCACACTAACTGCAAATGGTCTGAATTACCCACTTAACTGTGACAGAGTATCCCAACAGGACACTTAAATAAAAGAATATGGAGCAGTGACAGTATATCTGCATGCTAAGGCTCTTTACATTTGACAAGAGACCAAACCAACCTAAACAGTGCTGCACAAGACAAATGTGTAATCTCTTGCAAACTAAACTGCAAAACTCTAAAATCCATGGTTACCTACAGTGCAAAGATACACTGAACATTGTCCCATTTTCTCCACCAGTGCAACACCATTTAGATGTAGAAAGTTATTCTTTTGGGAGTTTTTTTGTAAATTTTGCATGAATTCTTTTTTTTTTACTACTTCAGCAGATCTGGGGATACTTGTCTCTACTAGCTTAGCATTTCCATGGACTGATTGTTTGCTTATTGTTCTTCGTCAATGAGCTTAAGATTGGATGGAGCGCATCCGTTAACCTCAGCTTCGAAGTCTTGCCAAAGACTCTCATTTGGAAATATGCCTGGATTTTGACTCTACCTTTGTAACAAATCGTGGTTGGGTGATTTAAACCGTTCCTTTGTAGCTTTGGCTTTATCTTTAGTATTGTTTTTTTGTTTTCTGCGAGGCAAGCCTCTAACCTAAATTCTTTGGACACCTCTAATAGATTTACTTCAAGGATATCACTGTAAAAAGCTCCCATTATGTTCCCACCAACATAGTCTCCTAGTAATTACTGAAAAAAGCTCCCCTCAGGATAATCCTGTAATGATTAGAATTGTATTTCATTAGTGCAACATTAATTTATCTCCACAAGCATACATTAAGTTTAGGTAAAATTTGGATTTCTGTCTCATTTCACAACAGCACCTCCGTCCACATGTTTGCTACAAGAATCGTGGGTTTCCCTGGGACTTTCTCTAAATTGCTTGTTTCTTGCCACACTTCTGTTAGGTGAAACGTGTGGAATGTACATCTAACAGCTGTTTTGTGAACAGATATTCCCACCTCAGCAGTAAACATCTGTTGAGCTCCTCCAAAGTTAAGAGCCATTTGGCTGTCTAACTGTTTAAAGCTTGGGGAGACAATCATGTCTTAGCAGGTATGCAAATTGTGACCTATTATTTCAATTTTCTTTTGATTGATAGAACAAATCTATGTGGCCTTTTTTAAAGTTTGGGAAACTGTTTTATACTGTGCTGATTTGATCGTTGAAGTTTTAACAATTATGAACGACCTCTTGTCTAAAGAGGCCAAAGTAGTTGAAATTTTTGCATTTACTAAGAAGAAAATGGTTTCTAAGACCATGCATGCATTTTTTCAGATATAGACCAATACAACCTATCAATTAAAGCTAAGTTCATCTTTTGTATTTTAGATCTTGAACCTTTAGCTTCTCAATTTTGAATGTTTAAGAGAAAGAATAAGTATTCCATCAAATATTCAGGGATGACAAATATTTGCTTAATCTAAAATGAAAATGCATATTTATCTTCAGAGTATTTTAGTGTATTCACTAAAAATACTAAAAATACGTAGTATTCACACTCTTTAGTGTGAATAACACACACTTGAACAGCATTAGACTGGTTTAAATCTCATCGATCTGATTGATTTCAGTTTTTTCATATTCCAAATTCAAATCCTCCTTATGTTGATCCCTGTGGAGTATGACAGGGATCATCATGAGGGATTGGGAGCATATATATATATATATATATATATATGCTCCAAATCGTTAAAATTATTAGACAATATGGGATTTCCACTGTTATGCTGATGATACCTAGTTATATCTTTCTATAAATCCAGATAAAGTTCACCAGGCCAGTCTTGAAGATATAAAACCTGGATGACTCTTATGACTGTTCCTTATGTTCCAAACAGAGCACTTCACTCTCAGTCTGCAGGTTTATTAGTGGTTCCTAGAATTTCTTAAAGTAGAATGGGAGGCAGATCTTTTAGTTATCAGGCTCCTCTCCTGTGGTACCAACTACCAGTTTTAGTCCGTGAGGCAGACACCTTGTCTACTTTTAAGGCCAGGCCTAAAACTTTCCTTTTTGATAAAGCTTATAGTTAGAGTGGCTCAGGTTATCCTGAGCTATCTCTATAGTTATGCTGCTGTTATGCGGCTTAGACCTCTGGAGGACATACGAATTCCTTTTTCATCATTCTGCTCCATTCTATCTCTATTCTCCCCATCTGCAGAATCTGTTAGGTCAATCTCTAACATCATGCTGTCTCTGCTTTTTTCAAAGTAGCTGCGCCTCATCTGTTCCTGTTTGGCTGTGACACCACCCTGAAGAGAAATTTCAGTTGTGCTGCTGCCATCAACACCTTAGTTTATAGATGTTAGAGATCGGCCTGTTTTTTAGTGTAGTCCTGTTTCTCTGACTGCGGCTGGCTGGATGTGCTCTCTTCATCCTCTAACATTGGAGCTGGTTCGGAGCTTGTCTGCGGGTTTCCTGGATGGGCCGCCTTTTACAGTTGCTTTTTGTATCTCGGCTTCTGTCTTTTTGAACCCCAGTCGGCCTCAGTAGATGGCCGCTCACACTGGGCCTGGTTCTGCTGGAGGTTTCTTCCTGTTGAAAGGGAGTTTTCCTCTCCACTACAAACATGCATAGTGTGAGGGATTGCCTTCGAGTCGATGAGTTAATGCAATAAACTGGTTTTACTTGGATAGAAAACTTTTAATCAATTTGACTGTATGATCTGGTGAACTGTAAAGTGCCTTGAGATTACGTGTTGTGAACTGTCGCTATTGAAATAAACTGAATTGAATTGAATTATTGGTAATGAAACTTACCAGGGTTATTTATTTTTTAAATATAATAAGGCTGGTGCTAAACCTTCATAACACAGTGTTGAAAGAAAAATATTAAAAGACTAGCACTTATTTTAACTTTTGATTAGCAAAAAATTATAAAAAGAGATCTACTTCAACTCTGTTATTGAGTTCTCATACACTCTGGATCTTATAATGCCACAACAATCTATAACTTCATAAAAAAAACAAAGGCAAAAACAAAAAATAAAATATTTAAAGGATGAATCGAAAATGTATTTTTATGACACTACAAGGAAACATTTAAGTCCATTTAACCATATGCTTGGAAAGTTCAGTTTAGGCAACTAGATGTCAAGTTTGCTAGAAGATGTTTCACCTCTCATCCAAGAGCAGGCATGTCCAAAGTTTGTACTCGAGGGCTACTGTGCTGCAGGTTTTAGATGTTTTCCTGCTCCAGCACAACTGATTTCCATTTATTGCTGATTAACAGGCTTTTGCTGAACTCAATCATCATAATTAGCTTTGCAGGGAAGCAGGGTAACCTCTAAAGCCTGCAGGACAGCGGCCCTCGAGGACCGACCTTGGGCATGCCTGCCCAAGAGGAAGGGTGGCTCTCATCCCTCGGAGGGAGCACTGGGGCTGAGCACAAGCTCAGACAAGGAGCCAAGCCCCCTTATAGACGGATCAGTGGATGTGCATGGTTGGAGGAGAATAGTCTACCATGTATTAAATCTGAAGTTCAATGTGTGTGACTACTTTTGCCAGGTACAGCACAAACAATTGTTATACCGGTATTTATATAACTTTTGTTTTCTTGTTTTTAAACAAAATGTGGTAACACAAATAAATGCTTAATTCACATACTTGTTTTCCTGTATCTGTATCCGGGTCCAGTACAGAGGCTTCATGGGACAGGCAGGCTCAATAGCAGGTTTCCTAGGAGCAGCATCAACTTTCATGGAGAACCCCCCCATTGGAGGTGGAGGTGGTGGTCCACAGCCTGGAGGAGGTGGAGGAGGAGGTGGACCTGCTCCAGGTAGGCCAGGAGGTGGAGGTGGTGGTGGGGGAACTCCAGTATGACCTGGCAAAGGGGGAGGAGGGGGTGGTGGTGGAACTCCAGTATGACCTGGCAAGGGGGGAGGAGGGGGTGGTGGTGGCAATGAGATGCCTGGTGGAGGTGGGGGAGGTGGAGGTGGGGGAGGAGGTGGTGTTGGTCCAGAAGTTCCTAATGCAGCTTCAGCTTTGAGGTTTAGTCCAATAGAATCTAAGTTAAGTTTCCCACATGTATTCTGACTTGGGCTTTGAGCAAGTTCCCCTCCATCCCCCTCTGGACTCCTAATGAAGGTCTCCCGGTCAGTTTGGATCCCCACAGTGCGACAGGTCTTAGGGGTCAAATCGTCTGAGGTGGACACAGCCACATCGCAGACAGGACTAAGATCCTGACCCACACTGTGCAGCTTTTCCTTTCGCAGCTTAGCAATGGCTCCCTCCAGCTGTGATATTGAGACAGCATGCTCACCTCGAAGTTGGAAGATTTTAAGCTCAAAGTCAGACTGTAAAAACAGAAAGCCAGACATAAAACGATTACAGAGTGGTTCAAACTACAGCATCATGTAATAAAACCCTATCAAAGAGTGGACAGTGTTTTTCTTGGACTGTACACAGATTACAGTGTATACTTACTCCTAAAGGAGCCCTTGAAAAAGATTAATCTCTAACTGAACAATAACAATGATGTAATTATAAACTTTCCCCAGCTAAATGTTTTCCTAATCTTACAATAACTTCTGAGTCAAGTGAAATCTCGTAACTCCAGTTTTTCATCTGGTATTTCAAACAATGAAAAGTATACCAGTTGCACTACAGCAATAATCTTAAAGAAAAAAGCTTTGGTAATAAATCCTCAACATGTTCTCTGTTAACTGCCGTCATATAAAATACAGGTATTCACACCCTCATTTGTGGCTTCACTAGGGAAAATGCATTTCTGCAAATGATGCAACACCCAAAAACAATGAAAAAAAAAACCTTCCTGGTTAGTTAGGTTCCTGTTTAAGTTGGCAGAATGAAAACACCTGGTAAAGATGTTTCATATCTACAGCCCTAAAAATATGTTTCCAACTTTTTAGAGATTTTTTGAGAGGATTTATGAGAGGCTGAGCAGACAAGAAGAAAAGGAGAAATCCATTAAAAATCTATGAATGTGAAAAAATTAAAATATTCTATTGTGTAAAATGGGCAGTTTGGAGAAAGGTTGGTAAAAATCAATTATTTCAATTTCTAAAATGCACCACATTAAAAAAATGTAAACGCTTCAGAAAAACAATACAAACTGTTAGCTGAAACACTTAAGTACCACTCAATTTATTTCACATAATTTTAACCAACCACAAGAAAAATCCCACTAAGGTTTATTTGCTCTTTTGCAATGGGTGCCCTACAGAATAATGAAGGGTAATAAAGAGTTTAATAAAATAAAGTCTATCAATCTAAATTGAATATATTAAAATTTAGATTATTTATCATTTAACACTTAGTTTCAAAGGGGTGCTCTATAAAAGTATTTTAAAAAATTAGGAAAAAAAACCCTTTCCATCCAAACATAAACATACATAAAATTCCAAGACTGCAGCATGTCTGAACATTTAGTATTCCTTCAGCGCTATCTGGTGGTCAAAATCATCAGCTGCTAAAATAAGCATAAAACTACTCATAGTTAAAAGTATAGTGGAAAATGTTCTTTTTCCAAGTGGATCAACACAATAAGTGGTCCTCCTAATTGTCAATCATTCTGGTAATATGTTTACAAAAGTTCCTTTTAAACTAAGTAACTTTTAAACAGAGTGTGTACGAGGAGAAATGTGCTCTCACACGCATCTAATATACGTTCCCTCTCAGGAGCGGGTACAGGGTTGTGCATGTGCTTTTTTTTTAAAAGTGGAGAGGGCGGGTCTTTTGAAAAATTTGCTATAATCCTCCACTTTATCTTAAAATTGGTCTTTAGTTGTGTAGAACTGACAGTACAAATGTGCAGGAAAACCTCACATTTGAATATTTTAGGCCACAATTTAGATATTCAAGTCTATCTGAACAAATACCAATGTCACTGAAAGGTTTAGTTCATTAGTCCACTTAAGAAGCAGTTTATTTCACACAGTTAAATTAGTTGAGCGTTTTCTGACCAGAATTAAGCCTCTCAAAACAAGTAAGAAAACACTCTTTACTTTTTAAATCTAATATGATTGCGACACAAATATGGAGATGACTGTAGATGTCAACGAAACATTCATTGATAATATTAAGATGGATGGTAAAATTCAAAATGTATGACTAAAGAAGCAGATTCTTCATAGTGTTTTTTTCCAAGCCTATAAACTAAGGTTAATTGTCATTAATAAGTATACAAAATATGCTGAGTTTTTTATATGTAAGGAACTAGTTTTTTTTGTTAGTTTTTAGTCATAGTCATCAAAATATTTGAGAAAAATAAATCATGCTATCAGTAACAAATCTATAAAAATTCTAATGATACTTTTTGTACTGTTTTTGTACTGTACTTGCAATTGAGGTCTTGTCTGGTGCATGATATTTCTTTTTAGCTTACATCAGTAACCGTAAACTTACATGCATCCTCTCCAGCTCCTCCTTGCACTCCCTTTTCAGCTGCAAGAGAGCAGCCTGGTGCTCTGAAATTTGGATGAAAACAAAGAAACTTCAATTATTTCCCTTTTTTTTTTTTTTTTTTTTACATATTTAAAACAAATAGTTACAGTTGTGTTTATAAAATTAGCAATATATTGTGAAGAGCCAATAAGCCACTAAATAAAAAAAGCAACAGACGTACGGATCCATGCCATAAAAGAGATTTAGACAGCTCCACAGATCGGTTCTAAAGTAAACTGCTTGGTAAATGAAACAACTTTACAGTTGGAAATTAAACATGAATACCCTCTGAAGTCAGAATTGCATCTTGTAAAATATAATCTAATCAGAGGTGTGTAGAGTACCCCAAAATAAGAGCAGAACTATTTCCTCATATTTTTCCTAAAGTAAAAAGTAGCTTTTAAAGAAATGACAAACAAATTAAAAACGATTTTGGTAAGAAGGCCACTTAAGTACTGAACAACTGATTTACCGTCTATCCATGAAGATAACAACTGATTTAATATTTCACAAAATTATAAGTATTGGTTAAATTACATTATATACTGTTTACTGTATTTTCACTCAGCCTTCAAATGACTTGACAGACACAGCAGGTGGAAATAAATAATTAAATTAAATAATTAACCAATCAGCCTTCAGTACAAAAAAGAAGAAAACGAGTCTCTCATTGGTGCAAATTTCTTTAAAACAAAATTCTTTCATGAAGTGAAGTTACTCAAAACAGATGGAGTAGCCAGAAATTTTACTTAACAGTAGTGATACTCAATCATATTTTTAGGAAAAAGTGTAATGCCATTAAACTTGTTCTAAAAGTAATTCCTTTTAAAAGTTTACACAAGTAAATGTAACCGAGTAACTGTAACTAGTTACTACTCACATCTGAATCTCATACATATTCCCAAAGCTTAGGATCCAATATTTCTGTAAAATGCTTATTTGTAAAAATGTTCCCTTTATCTTTTAATGTATAAAAATTGCAACAATCTATTAACTAATATTGCTAATACTAATGTAGCTACCAACAAAAGAATAAGAACATTTTTTGTTTGCTGATTTGTAAATAGAACATGCTGTCATCTGGGGTGTCATCATCCCCAGATTCAAGCTCCAACTTCAAAAAAAAGATTAGCTATTTAATTAATAAAGCATTACAGCTTAAATCTATTCTTCTGGTTTTTTAATTTATATAAACTAATTAAAAGTGATTTTAACAAAAAGAGTGTATATGTACACTCTTATCCACATATGATCTAGGTGTTCTAATAAATTAACTTTTGTATGACTAAAACAACTTTGCTTTTTGTCTTTGATATCTTCAGCTCTTGTATATTTGAGTTACTATTTTTCTATTAAACATGCATCTTTTTGTTTATTTGCTTTATAATTTAGGGTATAGATGTCTGAGTTAGAAGATCAATAGTTCATCATTTATTAATACATAACCATGCTATGGCACTATTTTTATCTGCATATCACAGTCTGAGTTCTGATACTCTTTCATATGAGAACAGAACTGAAAAATAGAATACAGATCACTAAAACAAATTTTTTCATCTTAATCTATTATTCTAACATCTGCAACACAGAGAACACTGTGCTTCAACTGGGCCATTGTGGTTCTTTTTCTCTAATCAGCCATTGCTTATTGGCTTCAAGCAAAGCTTTATAATGCATAACTGAATCTGCCATGTGTGCTTTCAACTCATTTGTTTCACGATGTACTTTTAGTAGCCAATATCCCACTAGCTTCAAATAGGCTGCATTGTAGGGATCTAAAGTAGAAACCACAATTAGAGCAGCAACAACCTCAGCGCAATCTTTAATGGATTTTTTAATGATTTATTTGTATCCAGATGATTCTTTCTAAGCTTTTTAATAACATAAACTTAAAGTGCTTCAGGATTAGATTATGAATGCTCATCTTTCACTTAAAGTATTTTCCTCTAAAGACTTGTTCAAATTACCCAGACTTCATATGCTTTAATTGTAGCTCTACTGGCTGGTATCCCTCAAGTCAATCAGTGTGAGGTGTGTCCTTGTTAAAGCTTAAAAGGGATGATCCACTGCCAACATTCCTCATTTTAAAACAAACAAAGGCATCACTGCCTCACCCAACAACTCTTAAGTTCTTACCTGCCTCTGTGTACTTAAGCCCCACCTTCTCCTCCTCATCTTTGGGTTTGGGTGGAGGCCACACAGCATGAAGACGGCCCGGAGTCCGGTCCTCACTGTCTGTTGGAGAGACCTCTGTCTGTATAACAAATACAAGCAAAAACTGATTAACCAATGCCATTTAAAGTAAAGAAATCTATAAAATGTACATTTAGATGCAGTGAAGACATACAGTAGCCTCCGTAGAGTTTGTAACATCTTTGCCAGGACTCTTAGCAGTTCGCTCAAAAATTAACCGCAGATTTTCCTTGTCGCTTTTAATTTTTTTCTTCACTGCCTCAATGTCAACGTCTTCCCCTTTATCAGTTTTGATCTTCGGGCCAAAGATGTTTTTAAAGGTCTCGTAAGCTATATCTGAGGTTTTCTTTTTTTCTGGTGGGGACTTTAGAGTTTCTAGTCCAGTTTTGCTCTCCCCAGAAGTGTCTTCTCCTTTTTCAGATTGTTTTTTACCTTCCATGTCTCCTTCCTTTCCATCATTTGACTTTTTAGTGTCATCATGGTTGTCCGAGGTAAGGCGCTGAGTAAGCTGTCCCTTTGCAGTGCTTTTAGATGTTATCAGTGATTTGGGCTCATTGGGCTTTTTGATACTGGAGCTCGTCCTCTGTTCAGGGAAAAGCTTGGCTTTGTTTACTGTTTTCTTGAGGCTAAGGAGAGCCAAATCAGCATCCTTCTCCCTTTGCTTGATCTCTGACACAACCTCCCTCTCATCTCCTACTGCTCCTTTCTTTAGCACTCGAACACCACTGAACAGAGCTGGCATCTGAAAGGAGGATGGGGAAGAGAGCTGTGTCCCCCTGGGTGGGGAGACAGAGCTAGAGGCGGCGGCAGCAGATGAAAGTGGTGATGCTGCTTGTAGCGTCTTTGAATCAGCTGTCCGCTTTGCAGATGAGCTGACAGATGGCTCACTGATGCCTGTAGAGTCTGATGGTCCTTTGGACCCTGAAAGGGTCAAATTAAGTGCCTTCTCTGGTTTGGGAGATGACTGGACTGATTCGGGAATCTTATTAGGTTTGGGCTCCTCAGCTTTTTTCATGTTTTCCGGAGGTTTTGTCGGCAAGACCCCATCATCATTATTAACAGTTGTTTGTAATATCTGATTGCCAGAAATTACAGAAGGAACAGGCTGAGAACAATCTATGCTATCATACTCATCATTTACTTCTGATTCAACTGCTACATTCAAATTAGCATTATCCTTAGTAGGTTCTGTAGAAGGACTATTCTTGGAATCAACTCCATCTTCCTTCTTAGATACTGACGATCCAGCTGATGGCCTAGATTTACCCCTGCGACCAAGCCTGCTAGAATTTAAAATGGCTTCTATGGTTGATCTATCTCTAAAACCATGCGTTCTAAAAACTGGTATTTGTGGCTCATTCTCTTTCTTGTTTCCTTTTGCAGCACTGCCTCCTTCGGATAGGAGAGCCTTTGAGGAAACATCAATCTTCTCAGGTAAACCTTTACTGCTTTTTGGCGTCTCATCCTCCTCATTGTCTGTGTCACTATGCGTTTCTACCCTTGTCACTTGTACAAGATCCAAATCAGAGACTTGTGGGGCTCCTTCCATCTGTTCACGAGCCGTTTTGATCGAGGACTCGGTCTCCTGGAGTGCTCCATCACTATTACATTGACAAGCATCGGTGTCTCCATCTGGCAGTTCCTTAAAAGACGTCAACACAGGAGTATCAGAAGAATGATCCCGCATGAATAAGTTGTTGAAAACATTCAACATGGAATTAGAGGAGTGCTTCTTTTGTTCGTCCAGGTTATCACTTTCACTCGCCATTTGTGCTTCCCAAAAGTTGTACTTTGAGTTTCCCTTGAAAAGATTTCTCTTCCAACCTGTAGTTATTCACGCCGCTTCAATTTCGCCACTAAAGCTCTCTAAAAACAAAAGGCCTTTGTACAGATAAACCTCTCACACTTCTCTAACCCTCTCCAGTAAGAAGGTTAAATGACATCTGCACAGGTCGCTTATACTTGGTTTTCATAATATGACATGAGGACAAGTCTTGGCTGCATGTTGTCAACATTACAGTTAAGTCTTCTCCCAGCATATGAGGTTCCCACGAGACATCCAGTGTAGTCAAGCTGTTCGACAACTCGAAACCTGCCCTGCTGTCATGAGTCCGGTACAGCTGGAGAACAGAGTTCACCTGACTTTTAACAGAAGTAGTCCAAACACTTTGGAAGGTTTTAGCGAAATATTCCACAAAGATGGTTGTTGTACTTCCCTGTGTGGCAGTGTGAAGTCCTGGCGCTTCTATTTTGAGCCTTTTTGAGTCAAACTGTATGTGGTAATGTGTGAGAAAACTTCCTCAAGTTGGGAGCAAAAAGGAATTTCACTGGTCTGCCGAGTCTGGGCACACCTCCTTTAGATCCCTCCCTTTCTGGGAGGGATTCTTTAGAAGCCACTCACAACAGGTGTCTGGTTACCTCTACCCTACTTCCTTAAGGGAAACAGAGCCAGCAGAAAAGGAGCTTGTGGTCAGGTAGAGGTTTGGTTTTCTGTAAAGCAGCATTACACAATAAAGTGGGAAGCTGCAGCAACACTGGACTTAATATGGTGGTGGTGATTAGGCAGCAACCTGCTGGCCACAGCCAGCTTGATTCTAATATGCTAAGAGGCTAAAATGTGATTATAAGCCTAAGCAGCTAAACAACAATAAAAAAAGACATGTTAGCTCTCCTACCTTCACAGTTAGAGTGAACATGTGCTCCACACTGAGGCAATTTAAGAAAATACAATTCAGCTGCTATGAAATGGATTTAAAGAAACTTAAAATTACTAATATGCTGCTAGCTGTAGTAAGAATACTAATAAATTTAAATGTACTTTTTAAATTATAGTAGGAACTCTACCAAGTTGTATTCATCACATAGATTTATAGTTGAGGATTAAAGTTGGCACAGAAGTTTAAACTGGTTGCCTTTAGCAACCAAAGGTCATTCTTCCTGGAAGCAACTGCAAGATAGAATACTATGGAATAAACACTGGGAACAACATGCTTAAAGTTAAGCTTTGGAAAAATCTTTTGTTTCTCAAATACTGAGATACAACTCAAAAGATTCCATTAATAAGCAATGATCTCCCAGAAAAAGGTTTTGATGGAAAAAAACAAAATATTCAACTGAAGGCTCTGATAGGAATATACCATGCAGAGAATACTGTTTGCCTCTTTAAAGATTTCTTGTTTTTATGTTTTTTGTTTGTTTTTACCTCAGTAATTTTAAAGCAGATTTTAATATTAGCGAAAGATAAACATGACATTTTTTTTGTTAAATATGGTTAATCAGGAAAAAAGATGAAAATTCAAGCAAGCCTTTTAAAAAGTAAACCCCTCTAAACCTATTTTTAACTGGTTGTACCTTCCTTGATAAAAAAGCTGTCATCAAATGTGTTTGACAGCTTACCATAAATTTTTCATGTGACTGTGCAACTATTAGATTTTTTTTTTATTCTTGCATAATTGCTTTTTTCAGCAACATTGGGAGGTTATGACTTTAGGCTACGTCCGTCCAAGAAATCATTGTATTTATAGACACAATTAAAGGTGGACTTCCTGATGCTCTCATGGCAAATAGGTCCCAAAGCAGCCTCTTGCCATCACAGGCTTATGCTTGATTGCCATGATGATAATGATGTTCTTTTTCTGAAATGCTGTTAGGTTTATGTTAGCTTTATTATTTTGGATAGGTCATAGATAAATCAATTAGGACTGAAACAATTAATCAGATAAATTTTCTTTTAAAATAAGTAATCAATTAATTGTTAACTGGAGTATAAAAACTCTAAATGTGTTCATAGCTGACAGAGCAACCTTCTGAGAGAAGCAATTATTCTTAAATTGTAAATTTAAAAAAAGTAAACATTTTGCATTTAAGACAAAAGTTTTTGTCTGCCAATATTTAGGTGAAACAATATTTTTTTTTCACCTGGTTTCATTTAGTAAAAAGTCTTCTTCATGGAACCTTTCGCTATCTGATTATTAATCCATTAATTAAAAAAAATAATCAACAGATTAATCAATTAGTTGCAGCCCTAAACTCATTTACACCTTTAAAGACTGCATTTATGTTATGAATGCTACCTTTGATCTATCTGTAATTGTTAAAGTGGGTGTTCACTCCTCCCTCCCCCTGAACATTTCTATGTAGCATTACATTAGAATATTTTATGTACAGCTGTACTGGAAATAAATTAAAAAGAGGGCTTGTAACATGTAAATAGTGAGATAGCTGCTGCTTTTTTTTGTGACAATTTACTAATCATGCACAACATTCACTTGCTTCTGGTATGTCAACCAATTGTGCCTGCAGTCAGGGCAGTTCAGGTGTCTCAGGGAAAACAATGCATAGCCTTTGCAGACACGAAAACGCGCCTAATTCCACACCCAGAGAATCTGCCACAGGAATGGGAGCAGTCAGCTAGACAGCGTGATGGAATCTGAACAGACTAAAATAGATGGAAAACTTTTCTATGAGATGATTTAGGCAACAGTATTGTGTATTTTTACATAATAGAAGTTTCTGGCCTAAATGATCTAAAGTCTAACATGTACATTTACTATACTGCAGGGCAAATACATTGATAGTCTAGTCAACAACAATGATAATAATATTTAGGAAAAGACATATTATTAAGGCATTAAAAAACTGCTTATAAAGTTAGGAAAGATTTTCTTTTTACTCTGAAGCTAAGAGTTTCCCAAACCTTTGCTTTAGGATTGGATCTCAAGACGAGAATTTATGACCCTCTAATCCATTCCTAATGACTTATAATCAGCCAGCCGAATGCACCAATGAAGGCTAATCCCCATGAATTTCACGAGGTGGAAGAACAGTCATGTGTTTTTTTTGGTGCTTATTTCTGAAGAACTCTCACCGTGCACTCTAGTTTGGGGTAGTAGGGCGTGTCTCCAATGATGTCATCCTCGGGAGGCGTGATACGGAGAAATTCAAGGTGGTTGGGGCGAGAAACAGAGCAGGGGACCTCCTGTGGGTCATCGCCATCCAGCATCCAGATATCATCCTGACGTAGGAGGAATTCTTCTACCGAAATAAAACAAACAGTATCAGGATTACAATTGCACCATCGTGTGTCGCTTCAAAGCATCAGTGATAAAATGCATAAGCCAAGCTGCATATACTGTAAAGTGGCCTCTCCAAGTTATTCTATTACCCAGTCTTCATATCTAACCAAAATAGCAAAGAGAATTAAAGCATTAATCTGAATCTTTAGGCATCAATATGCAGCAGGGAAATATAAACAAACAAGTAAAAACCCTTACTCAAAAGCTCCAGGCCACTGAACTATTAAATATATTGAATATTACTGTATAATATTTCCTTTAATTGATCATTTGTCTATTACCAACATAAATAAAAAAATTTACAAATTACCTTACATTTAAGTCTTACATTCAGTAGTAAACCTTAGTCCCAATCAGCTTGACTTAGATTTGATTTAAGTAGGGAAATACTGCCCCCTCCTGACTATGGTAGGTGCATTACAATAATGAAGCCAAAATTCATTTTTTCACATTTCTAGGGGGAACTATACCTTTTTTGTGATCCAAAATAAGACACCATCTCAAAAAAACCTTAACCTTTTAACTTGTGAATTAATTGGAATCAAAATGAAACAATTTAGTGGGTAAAACAACCACAAAAATGATGTGGTTGCATATATTTGTATGACTACTATAAGGATCTAGCCTGTTTTAGGAACTTACCAATACTTTGGTAAGTTCAACTTTTCATCTGTGGTCTTTAGCGGAAGTGTTATTTGTGTCTGTAGCATCTGCTGCCATGAAATTCTATCCAACTGGTTAAACTTCACATTAGCATTTAAAATGTAAGATCATAACATTTGGGATATATTGAACAACAATTACTTTATTTTAAAATAGCCCTCTGCAACATGAATACTACATACGTGATTGACACTTTAATGAAACCAGGCTTAAACTTTTTTTTAAGTGCAATTGAAAAAATATGATTGCTGCAAAAATAATGCCATAAATGCCACAAAACATGATTATGCAGTACCATAATAGTTTGGGGTTACTTTAATCAACTGTTCCAAAAATAGTCAATGTTGAAACATATCCTTGAGGCTTCTGCAAGAGAACTAAAGATGGATTATTTTCTCCATGACAAAGACACAATAAGTAGAACAAAATGGCTGTATCAGGGAAAAAAAGAGAAAAAGAGAGGTTAAGGCATAGCCCACTACTTAATTTGATTAAACAATCTGTGGGGAGAGAAGAACAGGACTGAGCATATAAGGCAAGACTGCAAGCTGAGACCGCAGCACAAAAAGAATGTGTTTGTGATTAATTTAATTAGGGCTTCAACACAGTATTAAACTAAGAGGGTCCAAACTTGAGGTGTAAAAAGAAAGAAAAATATCAATCTGTGACCTAAATTTCCTGCAGATGAAACTAAACATCTTTCTACCTCCCTGTTCAATAATATAAAAAGGTATCCCTTACAGTATATGCAATAAGTGTTGTATCCTTGAAGAGGCTATACAGTAATAGATAACTTTAACACAGCATACAACTATGAAGACAAGTCATCTTGAATACAGTATATCCCCCAGAGTCTTGTCTTAATATCTTAATATGAACAGATAAATTCATGGAAAAATAAAAGCAGAGAGGTTAACAGGAACACTTAAACATACTCATTCAGAGACAACTGTGATGAGCCACGTGGAGCTTTAACTGCGGTGGGGAAAAACAGCAGGATAAGATTAATAACTTTTCATTATCATAATGCTATGCAGCTCAGTTCTGCAGTGCAAACTGCTGACTGTAGTTTGGAATGGTTCCAGAAGCAGTGTTAAGCCCACTATGGGCGAAGTGCAGAGAGTACGGATCAAAAACGACTCTCCACAATTTCTAGTCCCTGTAGAGGACTTATCACTAGGATTTTATCCACCTGCTGCATATATAAAATTGGTTTGATATATCTTTCTTTATTTTTAGTTATGTATGCTTCATGAAAAAAATTTTAACCCACTAAATCCTATATGTTAATCTCATGGCTTGAAGGTCACTTTCGAAAGGCCACAGCAAATTATTTGGTCCTTAAGAGTCTAAGAAGGCTTATCATGTCATAAAGTAGACTTAAACCAATGACAGCCTCGCTTTGATAGCACTGCTCAGAGGTAATGGTGCCTGTATCCTGTCCATGTTTGGGAGAACTACCTGTGCTAATAGAAGTGTTCAGAATCAAGCACAGGTTTAAAGGAATGCAAATCTCAACAAACTGCTGGATACCATTGTTTTAAGAATGAATCTGTTTTCAAAAGTTTTAACAGGAATAATATATCTAAATGAAATA